TTCGGCACATTCTCCTCTTTTTTTATAGGTGCATTGTATAGCTCTTCAAATGTTGTAAGAATATGAGTTAGGTTACTCTGTTTTTAAAAATCTTGGTTGTTTACCAGTTGATCATTCGACGAATGTTACCTGTGCGTTTTTTGCAGTGAATTTCTCGGAATGTGAAAAAACGTAGGTAATTATTTCTATCGTGCTAATTTGTGAGGGATGCAGCGTTGTGAAATTAGAATAAGTAGGTGTCTCCTACAATAAAGAATTGACTAATCGAGTGACTTCGATTTTATTAAGTTACAATGTTGTGACGCTTGCAATGGTTTTTTTTTTTCTGCCCACTAACTGTGAAAATATTGTTTGTTTTTCTCTTTTTGCTTAGAATATTTCGCTCTTCTTGTTTTTCACTTATTTTACACACAAATAAAAATGCAATTTTACAGTATAGTTAGTTTTAAAAAAACAATGTATGTATTATTTGTAGATAATGAGATGAAAATTTATTTATTTAAAATTTTGTGTTTTCATTTTATTGGTTGAAGGTTTTGTTGATTTTGAGGAGTGGAATGAATCTGCCATCTGATAAAGAAGTTGAATGGCTGTTGAAGCACCCGTTGATGACAGCTAGAACTTGATGTGTAGTGGAAAAATGAAAATATGTTGTCTAATTGATATTGTAACTGTTGGAATTTTCCATGTAAGCAGATTTATTCCATCTTGAGAAAATTTTTTACAAGAACATTAGGGTGCTTGAATTCACTGTCATTTCAAGCTCTCTATCGATTTTTAGTCGAGACTTTGTATTTTGAAATTCCTCAACAAAAATCATCTTCCAGGTAACGTTCATTAAGGTATGGAAATCAAAAAATGAGAAAAAGTATGCTTCGTATTTCCTCGACTTGATAAATTATTCATTCACTTCAATCAGTGGCAGAACTTACCTTGGAAGCTGCGGATCCTGACAAGAATTTTTCCAAAACTGGTTCAATATTATTTGAATCACAAATTCAGAAACTTGAATAGGTGATTTTAGAGAATGTTGATATTTCAGGATTATTAGAGAAAAAATTTTTCCTGTACCCAATCATCAAAGTATCCATAAAAATGATACTGAATTATTACGAGTACAATCTGCAACATGCGGTGAGAAATTGATCCTAAAGCTGAAATCAAAACTACAAAATCGGTTGATATGTGAAGTCAAGTTAGGCAAGTTTCTATGAAAAATGAATTTAAAAGCTTCCAGTCAGGATTCAAATTCTTTGAGCTCTGTAGCACCCCTCCACTTTCTTGAACAGGTCTTGGAACCCGATTTGGCGTAATGAAAAATGTAAATTAAAATATATATTGTGTCTAACGGAAGAAACATGCCTACTGTCAGATTTCTTCCAGCTTACCCCCTCCTTGACCATATTTGAATAAGAAGCTGATCGCGATAGTAAGTCACACATTACGTTCTACCCAATCAATATTTTTCTAGCGACTAGCACTGTATAACAGCTTCTGGCTGTTTGATAAAATGTCATGCCATAAGTGGATAAACCAGATAAACATTTTCCCTTCAAACGACTTAATTAGTGGTGGCAAGTTAGATGGGGCAGGCGAGCACGTGCACCACTTGGGAATATTTTTGCACACTCAAGAAAATGATTTTGAAAATCTACACCAGTTGAATAAAAACCAAATTTTGCACCATTTAGGGAAATTCTCGGAAAAAATAATTGAATATTGTACCAACTTTTACCTGAGAAAATTCTTTAAAAAATTATTTAAACAACAAATAAGGTCATAAATAAGTAAATTAATTTTGCACCATGCACCACTCTGGAAAATCAAAACCTGCCACCCCTGCTTACTTTACTTTATACTTCAAATTTCACAAAAATTAATTTAGAAACGTTGTAACCAGTGATGTTAAATGCTCGAGCATTTATTCCGGGCGAGCAAATGCTCGAGCATTTTTATTAATTTTTCAAAAAGAAGCTACACAGATTTGTCTGAAGGCAATTAAGGCTGCAAAAGTGATTTATTAACTAGTTGGAAGATGATGATTAAATTTTATTTACTTATTTTCTCTCATAAACCTCAAGGTGTCTTTAAAAAGCAGCTCATTTTCAGAAATAAGACTTTGGTGATACAGCACAATTTTTTCTAATTTACAAGATAGGGAATGGATAACATGGTTTTTCAAATTAAAAGATTTTCAGTAAAATGAGTTCTACTTGTAGGAGCATAATTGAGTATAATCAACTTTTTGCGGCACTTTGGAGCATATTTTGCTTTTTAAGGCATCACAAGAGCATCTTAGGCTTATTTTCCATTTGAAGAGCATTTTGTGTTGGAATTGAGATTTGTGGATAGTATTCTTCACCATAGGGATGCCAATTTTTTTCGAATTATCGATTTTTGATTTAAATCGGTCCCAAAAAATCGATTTTTCGATCAATTTCCTCATGATCAATTTAATTGATCAAAAAAAAAATCATCTGAAAAAAAAATCGAAAGATCGGAAAAAAAGTTTTTTAATTCTGCATATCAAAAAACGGGCATAAAACTTGACTAAAATCAGGAAAAATTATTGAAAAATCGGGCAAAAATCAAATCAATATAGCCAAAATTGATTTTTCGATCATTTTTTATTTTTTGATTTTTGAAATTGGAAGGGTTATTTGTGAAAACAGCCATAGTCCAAAGAAAAGTGAGAGTGTAAATAACTCAAGTCTATGGGTTTCACATTGGATTTAAGTTATCTTCACTCTCACTTTTCTATGGACTATGGCTGTTTTCACAAATAACCCTTCAATTGATTTTTGATCGAAATCGATTTTTTCAAGTATCTCGATTAAATCGATCAAAATCGATCGTGAAAAAAAAAATGAAAAATCGGCATCCCTCATCCTAACATAAACATGAACATAAATTGAGAGTAAATTTGAGGAAAATGACAAAGTTGTCTTTTCAAGATTCGAAGTCTCATCCCTAAATAAAACTCTTTTTTGTAGACACTTTGAACTTTGAGAAATTCGAAGTTTAAGAGAGAGAATGAGTAAACAACATTTAATTGTCATTTTCCATTAATTAATTAATAAATATATTACTCTTTCAGCCTTGATTGCTTCAGATAAATTTGTGCAGATTCTCTAGAAAAAACCAATAAATGCTCGGAGCATTTATTCCGAGAGCATGCTCGAGCATTTGCTCAGAAATGCTTGAGCACATTTCTAAAGCGAGCATTTGCTCATAACATCACTGTGTAACCTACAGAATTCATTTTTTCCCCCTTTTTTTCTGTTCGTACATTTTTAGTTTTTAATTTTATTCCTATTTATTTTCGCTATACTGTGTATTCATATTTCTCAAGTGAGGAATATCAGTATTTTATGGGACAGTTATTATATAATTTTACTTTTTCAATGACTCGATTAATTTATTTTTTTATTATTTTTATAAAAAATGTAAAAATGATCCTTCATCAATTTGATTGATTCAGGATTGATCCATTTACTGTGAAAAAAAAAAATTTATAAAACCAAAAATTTTTTTCATTAGTTTTTTATTTTTATCAATATTGTTTTATTTTTTATTATTGAAAGAAAAAAAAAATTCAAAGTAATAATAATTTTTTTGGATAAATAGCCATGTGGGCCGTGGCCGCAAGATCGTAGTCGAATAGCAAAAAGAACAAACCTAATATCATATTTCATTTTTTGTTCTTTTTTCGTTCTTTTCTTTTGCTCTGCTGATAATTTTTCTGGATAATTAAAATTTCCCCAAATTTCTTCGAAAATTTTCCAATCTTGTGTTTCGTCGTTCTTCTGTCTCAACATTTTAACAAATTATTAAATTCTGAATCATAATCGAAACTAAAAATTGGTATAATGTGATCAATTCGTTATCGTTTCTTCTTGGTTAAACGTTGGTTAAAACTCAGAGTACATCAACGTCAACTTTGCAAGTCCTGTTCCGATTGAGTTACTCCGTTGTGTTCGCACTTGACTGAACAAGTCTTTCTTTTTCTGTTCGTCATTCTTCTCAGCATGTATTACAAGGCAATTCGTCCTACATGAATTCATCCAGCAGTATGTTGCAACTCACAAATCGTCGGATATGATGGTTCTCAATTGTTGTGAAACAGATTCGAGACCAAGTAATATATTTGCTTTATTAATGTGTGACATCGGATTGAGAGTTATTCGAGGTCCAGATTGGCACTGGGATGACCAGGATGGAGGCGAAGGATTCGTTGGAACGGTCACAGAATTTGGCTCTCGTACTTCACCAGATAAAACTGTCGTCGTACTGTGGGACGTAGGTTATCGAACAACTACAGAATTGGATACGATGGTGCTTTCGATCGTTCGAGTATTCGATAATGCTCCAATTGGTGTATGATTTATTAATTATTTCACTTGTAGCTAACTTTCTAAATGCAATCCAAACATTTGCCATTCAGGAGTAAATCAAACTCGGGTTATGTGCAATGGTTGCCAAAGCAAGATTTCAGTGGAATGCGTTTCAAGTGTGCTCAGTGTATGATATTATGATCTCTGCTTCGATTGTTACATGAAAGATTGTCATCAGCTTTCTCATCCATTTAGAAGATATGATTCTATCGCTTCTACTGGGTAATTACGTTACTCTGTATGTTAATTTATATGTGTCACCGTCGTTGATTCATTTTATTTATTTGCAGAGTTGAACTCACTCCCAGAGAACACTCCAGAAAGATTACAATCGCTGGTATTTTCCCTGGTGCTAAGGTTATACGTGGTCAAAACTGGGATTGGGGAGATCAAGACGGTGGATTAGGTATTTTATAATCTCAGTTTAGTGTTATTCTACTTGATAATTGCATTAATGCTGTTTTTTTTGAGCAGGACATGTTGGCAACGTTACCGACATCAGGGGCTGGGATAAAGAAACCGACAGATCTGTAGCTAATGTTTCGTGGATCAAAACAGGAGTTACCAACGTCTATCGAGTTGGTCATAAAGGAAAAGTTGACATAAGATGTGTTAAAAGCATCTGTATGGGGAAACTGTTATATCGACCATTTACCTGCATTAGGTTTGTATTTTCTCTCTTTAAATCGATTTTATGGTTCTGAATTTATTTAGAAATTAATTTTTTTGATCACTGAAATTGCTGAAATAATGTACAATTTGTCCTCATTTAATTCGTTCAAAGAATCTATGAAGTTATTTTTTTAATGTCAGAAAAGTAATCAAGTATTAAATAGAGAATTCTGCCAGTTATTCATAAAAATAAGGCACTCTATGTGTTTTATTTTTTCTCTAAAATTCACTGTGGGAAGAATTGCAGTTGGATAAAAATCATAGCCAAAACAATTGTGTGAGTTGTTTGATTGAATTTTGGTAATCATTTTCATTTTCATCCCTCGAATTTAAATTTTGAGTCAAATTTCAATTGGTATGGACGAGATATCAGAAATTTTCAAAATTTAACCAGCAAAATTTCCACAAAAGATGGATAATATCTACCTCAAACTGGTTTGTGGCAAATAAAACGGTTTTATGAATCAAATCTCGAAATACCTGAAAAAATGCTTCGCTTTAAATTTTCAACAAGAAAGGCTTTTACTAAACTTCTTGTAGATTGCTTTAAATGTGACGATATTGAATGTATTGATTGATGCAATTTGAATTTCATATTTTTCAAAAGCTGTAAGATCCGGAATATTTTTTACCAGCTCAATCTGGATCTGATACCAGCATCCTACCTTCGATTCTAACTTACATTTTCTTTCTCACAAGACTAATTCTAAGTATAATTTATGTTTAATTTGAGTGTCAATCTAATAGTTATTTGGTACTCTAGGTCAGAACTTGAACAGTCAGCCCAGACCCAGCGACGAGGTCGTAGTCTTCAACCCTGGAGATAAAGTGAAAGTGAATGTCGATGAAGAACGACTGAAAAGTCTTCAAGATGGACACGGAGGCTGGAATCCGCGTATGGTGCAAGTAAGTCAATTTTTTTTCTTCTCTCTCTATTTTAGCCAGAAAATGATGACGATGTTGTTTCAGTATATTGGAGAAATTGGTATCGTCCATCGAGTTACCGATAAAGGGGGACGTTCGTGTGCAACCGAAAACTGTAGCAATAGGTGGACTTTTCATCCGGCTGCGTTGGTGAAGGTGAATCGATTTAAAGTGGGCGACAGTGTGCGTATACTCAATGACGTGGCTAAAGTGCAAGAACTACAAAAAGGTCACGGAGAATGGTTGGATATTATGGCACTGGTGAGTCCACTTCGAAATCAATCGAAGCTACACTTTCGAAAATCTATCACGAGATATTGTTTCAGGATATTGAAAAAGTAGGTCAAGTAGCTAAAATTATATTCGGATGGCGACCTTCGAGTGAACATCGAGGACCAAGCGTGGACCCTTAATCCATTTTGTCTCGAGTTAGTCGCTGAGACGGAAGCAGCCCCCAATTTTAGCGAATTATCCGATGAATTACGGGAGTAAGAAATATTAGTTTTATGATTTCAACGACTTCGTAGTCCATTCAAATTATAGGGAAAAAATTAGCTCACGAACTGAACCTACACAGGGTAATTTGATAAGTCTCCCGATAAGACGTAGAAAAAATTGACACCCCTCCCCCCCTTCTTGGAATTCTATGGAAGGGGAATATTTTTTCGTTAAATTGTAGGTTTTTACTTTTTTCACGCCAACTTTTACTTTAAAAACAATTGATAACAAATTCGTTCAGCATAAAATTTCTTATCCATGGTTTTGAACAAAATATCAGCATTTTTCACCCTTATGAAGTCAGAAGCTTGTGAAAATTTTTTTCCTGATAGGAAATAATTGAACCTTGGTACATACATTATACAGGGTGTTCCACCTCGATCTTACCACAGAGCACAGACATATAGGGCAATATAAATTACATACCTGTGTAATAGTTTTGCCTACTCTCCGGTTGATAGGTTCCAAGTAAATGAGAAATCAGTTTCCTTTTCAAAGCAGCAGAGCAAATGCAATGTAGTTTACTAATATCAGGAATCAAAGCAATAAAAATTGTACTTTGTAAAAATTTACTGATAAAAATGTAAAAATTTTAATTTAAAAAAGAGCTAAAAATTTTAATGTCTCATAAATAAAATTTATATGATGTCTTAATAAGCCC